AGAGCATCAACAGCTGCTATATCTGACCAGATGAAGGAAAAGCAATGGAAATGGACTGGCATATTCTACGAATGGAAAAATCAAAATACTTACATGTAGGATAGTTTTGATGGACTCCACCAGGAAAGGGAAACAGAGGGCTATCAAAGGAGACATAGCGAGGATCCATAGAATGAGAGATGAAGACTAGGGATGGACTTGGGACATACCGGTAGTAGATGATTGTACAGCACATATTTGCTGACAAACAGAGATAGTGGTCCTCGGTAAAGCCCCCCCCCCCCCCCGCCAATACTACTGAATCAATCATCATTATTAAATGATTTTGCAATTATTTTTGATGTCAAGAATAGTCGAATAGTTAAAGGAAAGAAACTTCGGTGAAAATAATCGTCAGAACAAATACTGGGTAGTATTTCTGGGGTATAATTGTCCTGAAGTGGAATGAACACGAGTATATTTTTGTGGATTGGTGTAAAGCAGCATTTTTTATTATTATTAAAAGAGTAAAAAAAAAAAAAAAAAAAAAAAAAAAAAAAAAAAAAAAACATCACATATCTCCTACACCATCTTCGCTAGCCAAGGGTTTCTGATACGCTACTCTCCTAAGTTTATGAGGAGAGTAGCGTATCAGAAACCCTTGGCTAGCGAAGATGCTCCTACACTAAAATGTGAGTTTTTCTAACTTTCAGTCAATTCCTATCAATTTATCATGCAAACGTTTTGATATTCTGATCAGACCTGTATTAACATATAATAGTGAAGTATGGTTTATGGAGGATTATTTTTCTGTAACGCTCAGAACAAGACACAAGTTGGGATATTTTGTCTTTACAGAATAAATTTTGTTTTGAAACGGTCCATTATAGTTTTTGTAATTCGGTTCTAGGATTGGGGGAAAAAAGAACTGCATGCAATATCTCTGCAAAGTCGGAATTAAGCAGGTTTTCTCTAAGAATTGTTATATTTCTGTAGGATATACACAGGTGATAAAGCCTTTTCTGAAATAGGACTGGAAGCAACAGGTTATGTAACTTTTGATAAAAACATGCAATAAAATTTAGTATTCTCTTAAACAAAAATTCAAAAAGACACTGCATGATGTTTACAGTCTAAAGGTCTTAAATAAACTATCTATAATTACAAATAGTTCTAAATTGCATCTTCATAGTAAATTAAAAACTGATTTTAAAACGGAAGAATACCTATTATTAGGGGGGAAAACTTTACAACCAAGACAACTAATTTAAAAATTCATTCTTTAGAAGTTGAAAGTGGAGACACGAAAATGTTCAAAGAGATTATAGACTAAGTAAAATTTGTAATATAGATGAGGAATACCATTTCTCACTTGCATTGACTGTCAACAAAGCCTTTTTTCTCAGTTATTCCCTAAAATCAATAATATATATAAGCAGTAGCTTTTTAAAAGACAAGTCACTCATTAAAATACAACGAATTTTAAATCCAAAAACTGAACTTTTTTCAGCAGATGGAAACTTTATGAAGCAGTCATTGGAACTGCGAAAATGAAGTCCATGTCAGTCAAAAGTGTACACTGTACTTTGAAGCCATTTTAAAATACATATTGTAACTGTATGTCATATATGTAACTGCTTGACCTATATGGGTGTAGTATGCAAATAAATATAAATAAAATACACATCTTAGCAAGATTATGCATCTCTTCCGGAGAGTGAAGTCCACTTGTTAACATTTTTTTTCACTTTGGTGCGCAACAAAGAGGGGGAGGGACGCAAATGCAAGGGTTTTCAAACAAGTTCAAAACTAGATTTAAGATTTGAATAATTTACGGCAGACACACATAAACTTGTTACATTGTAATAAATATGTTACCAGTTGAGTTAGTTTTTTTAACATTAATATTTGAAACATACAAGAGATCTGGCAAATTTTTCTCCTTGAAACTTCTTACTATACCTTTTACGTTTACCTTTTAATATATGTCGCATAACGGTATGCATATTCACCTTCTATTTCCATATGCAGAACTTTTATCTCCAAGACATTAAAGGCAGAAATTTTCTTACTGGATATGGAAATATTCAGTTTTGATGTTTTTTGGCATGAGAAATATAAACTCAAACCAAAATTCGAGCGACGGAACCATATGTCTGTAATTTTGCCAAAATGCTTACTATTTTGTAGCAACATTCATTCGTGTTTGAACAGTCTTCCAAAGTGTAAACATTATAGATTTTAAATGAAGTTATTCTGAGTCGGTAAAATAAGTACACATAGTAAGTGACTGAAAATCGGAATGATATACATGTATTTTTTTTATGAAGAAACTCGGAAGATTTTCCCTTTTCAAGCCTATACATTATCATCAAAAATTACGCATCTCTCGAAGACTACATTGACAGACTGCTTGCAATCTCTGACAAGAATGAAAACACTTCTTTTTTTCATTCATCTTTTTATGGAATAAAACTCATAAAATCTGAACAAAATTTTTAAATAAATATATGAATATTTAGAAACAAGCGGCAAATGATTTCCTCAAAAAGCACACTGGCATTCAAATAAAATATCTCGTAATGCACTCCATTTTAATAAAGGTATTTCAGAACATAACTGCAAAGAATTCCTCGAAAATTACGAATCACCACTCCCTTTTTGGGGATCCTCTTTGGATAAAGGTTTGGGTTTGCCAATTTTTTCAGAGCCTGTCCATTGTAATTTTTCCGTTTCTAATGGGTCAAAGTAAGAAAATGTGTCATCATATTCTATGTAGTCATCATATTCCATTTCTAAATTTTCAGAAGGAGAAGTTCCACTTCGAGCTGGAGATAAGGTAAGCTTACTCCTAGAACTATTAACACTTGAGCCCTGAACACTTTTTGGTGAAGAAGTTTTGGAATTTTCCTGTCGTGGACTTTTAGGACTCTGTCCATCTGGCTTTGGCAAGGCTTTATGTCTATCTACGTTAACTATATCATCTGAACTGTTCATAACCCTATCTATGGACGGTAATGATGCGGATTTTTTATAACTTTCAGTCAAAGATGTGGGTCTACGTAGCTTAATTAATTCTATGCTTGGTGACTGTACAAAGGAAGTCGTCTGCTGAATGAACACTTCACACTTTTCAGGTGTGCACGAATCGTCCGAGGTTCCAGACCCAGGCTTTCTTGCCTCCATGTCTTCTTTCGACATTTCTTTTAACTCAATGGCTTCCTTTGAGTTTTTGTTTTCAGTTACTGCATCTAGAACATCATTTTTGTCTTCTTCGTGCGCATCCACTGGAGGTATAGGATTAAGAACTGTTGGTGTTGGAGTGAGGGATCCCGCCGAGTCAGGTGTAGCTAAGGATTTCACATTCTCTTTCACTTTCTTTTCACTAGAACCAAGCGTACCTTTCTTTTTATCCTCTTTCTCCTTGGTACTCCGATCTTTTCTTTTACGAATCAAAAGTTCATGCTTACTCTTTACTGGAGATCCTCCGTTTGATAATCTCTTAAATCTTGGTGAAGGATGAATCTTTGGCGAACGAGTTTTTCTATTTAACAATGGACTTGCATTAAATAAAGAAGTCTTATTATCTTCTTCCTGTATGAGATCATTATGTACTAACGGACTAGGTAATGGGGTGTAATGTCTAGAGGGAGGTTTAGGGCTCCCTCCTGGTTCTATGTCTGCTTTGATTTTGATTTTGTTTTTACTACGACCACTTCTGTTACTAGAAATAGAAGAACCACGTGATATGTGAGTGTCACTGTCTTTCCTGTATTTCTTTCGAGCACTCTTCCCAGTCAAAGGTTTTTCCATATCAATATCTATCTCTATCCCTTGACTTATAGCACTATGACGACTTGGAGTACTGTGCATGCTCGTGCTTTTTGGGACATGTTCAGGAGTTTCCTCTTGCTTCGTCATGGCATACTTATGTGTCTTTTTACGGAACACTTTATGGTATACTGCAATGATCACAACCACTAGGACAATGACGGCACAGAGGGATATTCCTACGATTGTCACCGTGCTTTGCCAGATTCCTTCTTTCGGTGGAGGTTCTGTAACTGTCACAGCTGCAATGTATCTTGATTCATTTTTCACTGAAAAATTAAAATATGTATAGTTAAGTAGTAAGAATTTGTCCGTCAGTTAAAACATTGCTCTATGTAATTAAAAGTAAAAACAATAACCCAAAATAATTTTTAAAAAAATCAAGAAATTCCTTCAAATGCAATTTCAGCTACTGAAACTTAAGTCTGTCAATTTTCTTCATTTCTTGATAAATATTATGTGTCTTTTCAAGAACACTTCACTGACATTACCCATGTAAATTTTGTACTGCTTTGAGATTTGAGTGTTTGTCTTGAATTCCTGACCAAAGTCTGATTTCCAGCATTACATAACCTGACCATCTATCCAAACATCCGTATTTACCTTGTATGTAGAAAGATGCTATAAATCCATATACATGAATTAATTCTGAAGGATATGACAGGATAGAGGGGGAATCAGACGAGGAATTGATGTAAGAGGGATTGGCAGACGGCTCCGTCTGCGTCATAAACTCTATCAGCATTGTTCCAGTAGTGGAAATGACCTTTTTAAGATCCATTTCACCCTCACTTTTTGCTACAAGGTCAGCAGTAGACGTTCCTCCGTTGCGAATTTTAACCCACTGCTTCCCCTTGAACAAATTGAAGTACGTAAAAGATAAAATGATCTGGTGATTGCTTCTTGCAGATATAAGCCATATGGAAAGACCCGTACAACGCCCTGTAGCGATTATCTCCCCTTGAGTTGAATTGATTTCACAACCACAGATGCATGATTTGCTGAGTAAAAGAGTATGTAGAGGCGTTTTTGGTATTAGCTCTGTAATAAAATGATTTTTCATTAAAAACAGTGCTAAATTAAATTAATAAAAATAAAATTTATTGATAACATACCAACAGATCTGCTTTGAAAATTAAATGTGTAATATAATATTTTGTCCTCAAAACACTAGTTAAAAACCTTATGTTCTTTACTATACGTACCACTTTAAAGTTTATCCCTGAAGACCGAGTATTTAGAGGCCCGTTGTACAAAAGTACTTATGACTAAGACCAAAATGTAATTTTGGGAATGGTTTTCTTTTTTTTTTTTTACATTAACTTGAAAATAGTTTTGATCTATTTAAAAAAAGTCGGAAAAATATATTCATGCATGCAATATTTAAGTCTTATTTATTTTGCAATATTTTACAGTCTACTGAAGTTTTCGGTGTTAGACGTAAGTTCTTTTGTAAAGGGGTCAACATTTCTACCCAATACACTCTCAGAATTCTGCTTCATATACCGAGTATTCCCAATACAATTTTCCGTGATAACCATTTACCTGGACAAGTATTAAAGCAAGGTTTCCATTCAATTGGTTCCCCTTCACAGAAGAGCCCTCCATGCAGTGGGGAGGGATTGTTACAGAGTCTGGACCGACTGACCTTCCCCGTCCCGCAGGTCACACTGCAAGATCCCCATTGTGACCATCGACTCCATCCCCCGTCTATTGGCACAGCTGGGAAATAAAAAGGAATTTACATGTACACTGATATATATACTGGACACTCCAAAATAACAAAAGTTATACAAATTTACTATCGTATTTGGAAGTGAACATTGATTTTTTAAAGGGGTAGAACAAGACAACTATCACGATGTTTTTTAAAAAAAAAATAAAACATTCATCTATTACAGGTAAGAAATATTTAATGTCTTCATTTAATGTATTTTGACAACATCAGTGTGCATTTTAAATTGACAACACCAACATTCAGGTAACAAAATCAAAATTATCCCAATGACAACATCTAAAAGGGTGCAAAGTCACTTACTCAATGTCAACGTCGAGTAAATTTGATGAAAAAGAAGAGAACAATTTGTGTGTTATTAGATGTAAAATTCAGGAGATAAACACAGTATTTATTGACTGTAAACTAATCAATGAATTATGAGGCACGCAAGTTTTCTTTAAAAATTGCTAGTATTCGTCGAAATGTGTCAATTACGCTATTATGTTGTTATTTTGACCAACTTCAAATCGTTTTATAGGCGTAAAAGATGCTCTTAACAAATTTCCACAGTTCAACAATCATCAATATAAGCAAAATTAACTCAAGTTGTTTTTCGTTAAAAGAGCTTTATTCTACATATGCTGCATGTGCTACAAAGAAATGTATATTGCAATGCTGATTTTGATTAAATTCAAAAGTGTACGCCGTCCGTGTACGTGTTTGTTATACCTTAATCACAGGCACACTAAATCAACCATTCCAAAAGTTAATCTAAGGTCGGCTTATTTTACATAATAGCATCCGCAATCAATTCAATAAATGTATCAACATTTTGATTGCTTGTCATTTCTATTGCAGTAATTGCAATACAGTCAACATTTAGACGCAACACAAACACTTCCGTACACAGTTACCGTAAACTGATACCAAAAGTTGTCTGTCGATATTTGACTTTCAGAGTCAATCATCATTACGTTGTGTGCCTGGCTCTTGAAACTACTCTTAGCGAACCATTGATTTCAGGTGGAACTGAATAATGTTACTGAATTTGAACAATGCAGACAACAATGTTCTCTCTGATCCTGCACTTCAATAAACCCACACTGCACTAATCAATAAAGAAAACGGTATTTATTAAAATAGAAACCCATTATTAATAAGGAAAACAGTATTTGTTAAAATAGAGTAAATTTTGTTCTGAAGGTCTTCGGTTAACATACCGTTACACAATTTCAAGTGAGACATTTCCTAAGCTAATATGTGAACACATGTATATGTTGTCAGTAGCTACTCATGCAGAAGCTCATTTCTGTACAACTTCAGCTCTGATAATTTAATCTTAAAACTTTATACGTGTTCAAAATATTATTTGGAACCACTGATGAAAATTCAATATGTACGTATTTTATTTAATTTTCTTCCCCATTATAGGGACATTTCAAGTATTCTGATGCTATAATTTTTAAATACTATTATATAGCTAGAATTTGAAAATATTACATCATACCAAGTTAGATACTTGATGTTTAGTACATCTGCGATATAATTCAACCAGCATTTTAAATGGAAATGTTTGTAGGTAACTGTATACGTTGATAACCTTCAAGAATCCTCTATGCAGTTCTAATTATTTAGTTAGAATAACCTGCCCTTAGATCAAAAATATATATTTGCAGTCTAATCAAACATACCTAACATTTTAAAGTCATATATGGCGTATTTTTGGATAAGTTTAGATAACCAAAATTAAAAAGATATTTCTATTTGTTTTACTATACTTTATATAAAGATAGGACTTTCCTGGAAATTACACAATTTAAATCAATCGTATTTCAAAGCTATTAAAAATTTAAAACAATAACCGATATATTTATATACCGACTCCACATTTAAATAAGACAAAGTTTAAAGTCAATTTAATTATAGAAACGTAAGGTTAATCAAGTTCCAACTCGGTAAATTTTTTAATTGGAAAATGAATAACATATATAATGTGTATATCTACACTTATTCTCGTATTATTATTTTTTAGCTCAGATACGCCATATATAGCTTTAATAAGCTAAGAAATTTTATTTTTTTAATGAAAGAATATTTTTCCGAGATCTTTTTTTTTCTCAGAAAAGTTTTGTTGATCATAAATTTCAATAGCTTTACTTTAAATACTTAATTTACAAATTGAATATGATTTTTAAAATATCTGCAGCTATATAGGCATTCTGCACGCCTTGTTCACCCATCTTCTTTATTTTCATGTATTTTCCCACCGAAGTCAACAACATTGATTTCTGTTCATTAATACTTTGTTCTCTTTGAAATTTTTCTTCTAGGGGTTAATGCCAAAACGAAAAAGATAAGATGAATATTTACACCTTTATTCAATGTAATTTTCCCATGCATTATCCAAAAACATTTTGCTTTTGTGTATAGAGGGTCCTTAAGTCTACGTTGTTGCTATAATCCAAAGTACTCTAGAGAGTGTCTATGGCGTCTACAAATTTTCTACATTCAAATAGTAGACTTCGTTTGTCCGAATCAATTTATAAAACGTAGACTGCTTAACAACAACGGAGGGACTATAAAATATTTCATCGAATTTTTGTACACGCCTTATAAATTTGTCAAAAATTTATGTCTACCGTTTAATTTCTGTTGTTTAACTCCCATCTGGGAATATTCATTTCGAGATGTTTAAGGCCAAAACTATAATAAAGAACGTCTCGCAGTGCGAGTGATTTTGTTTTTCTTACATCGGATTCTGATTAGACCATAGCTTTGTTGGTTTGCATTTGTACTGACCTATTATAATGAACAGTTGCACCAAGTTTGAAGCATTTGTGGTCTGGTGTTTTCTATATTATTACGAAGTTTTACTTAATCAAACCAAAACTGTAGGACGAGATAATGTAGAATTTAAAAAGATTTCACAGATTATTTTTAGTAGCCATGGCGACACCAAATGTCAAAATCAGAAAATAATACATGAAATTGCGTACTAAGTTCAATGAAATTAGAACAAAAATGTATGAGAATTTGAGTTTGAAAAGAATTATACAGAAATTACAATTTTTAGTTTCTATGGCAAATTTAAGTCGTTCATCGAGATCAAATACCAATTAAAATAACACAACGAATTACATGTACATGTAAGTATATTCTTGAAATCAACGAAAATTCGTTGGAAAAATATTGTTTTGAAGGAAAAATCAACCAAATTTTAAACAATTTTTTGATATATTTTATTTTTCCTAAAAATATAGCCGTTTTGATATCGCCGATGGTGATGTACAGAACACGACAAAAAAAATTGCAAAACAAACTTACAAAATCCATAATTTTATCCATTTATTTTCTATAATTCGCGATATTATTCGACAATTTTCTTTAAAGTTTCTTTGTATTGTTGGCATTATATTGAAGTACTAACAGAAATATTATAATTTTTCTCCGATGAATTTCCCATGAAAACAACTACAAAAATGATTTGAAGTGATTTGACGGAGTAACGCACTTTGTACTGCTCGGGAAAACGCCGATGAAGATGATGAAATGTGTAGTAAACCAGTGATGTGCCAGATATCTGTCTACAAATAGCACAAGAAAATTTTAGATGGTAGAACCTCAGTAAAAGACAATCCGGGCCGCGATTCCATGAGTCTGAAGTAATTGCTCAAAACTGATATCGATTCATGATATTTTTTTTGATAACCAAAGATTCTTTTATAACACAGTGTATGTGGGATTTTTGTGTGTTTTTGTCGTCAGATAATTTTTTTCTTTGCAAAAGTCTACGTAATTTTTGAACTGCCCTCGTAAGTAATCATTGAATCAGAAACCGACATAGTATTATGTATCAGAGTCTTGTGTACCAAGCTTAAACGAAATTGGACCACAAGTAGAGGAAGTAGTTTTAAAGAAAGTCAAGGAATATATATCTTAGTAACCAGGCAGACACTGTTCATCGGAATAAAAAATCTACAAAATAGAGTAATGTATCTTGTTTGTGTCTGCATGTATAAGCCTTGATTTATCGAAATCGAATCAAAACTATAGAAGTCTATAGTAATATCGCTTTGAAAATAGTTTAAAAACAGACAGACAGACAAACCGAGACTTTACCATCACTGTCATCACAGCAGTTCTGATCTTCGACAGCATAGCTAAAATACACGCTAACATTTAAACACATTCAAGTGAAACAAACTCTGTTGAGAGCTTCAAAGAGGCCTGGAGTGAAAGAACTGATCAATGCAAAATTCATTTAATCCGACTTCAACAAATGGAGATGAGTCCCCTTAAAGCAATATTGATAATGGAATATACAAAAACTCGCGCCGTTACTGATTATTCAGGTAATGGAAACATGTTCTAAAAACAATTGCATTCAGCATGTATGATAAAAGAAATGTTCTGTCCTATAGGTTCAGTAGGTTCACTAGACTCAACGAAAGACAAATATGGAGCATTAACTATAGTTTCTCAGCCTTGTGTTTTCTACATGTATAAATTTCGAATTTTTATTCAAAAATTTCCCCCTCTTAACACGATAGTGCTTTGTTGGAAATTAGATAACGCCAAATCTTTTATTTTTAATTTACGTTTCAAGCGTGCATTTAACCTTACTTAAGAAGACCATTAAAAGGAAAAGGAAAAATTTCCTCAAATATTTTCGTAATTATAAGCTTTCTCACTTTCCATTTGTAACTTGTTGAATTTCAACTTGCTGGTATTTTACAAACAAAGAGAAATGAAAGGGATACCTATAAATTAACTAAGTTAACGAAATTAACTGAAGACTTCTGAAAAAAAAATCTGCTTTAAAATTAAAATGCTGAATATTTGACTGTTACATTTTTATGCCCCCGGATCAAAAGATCCCGGGGGTATATTGTTTTTGTCCTGTCTGTCTGTTTGTCTGTTTATCTGTTTGTCTGTTTGTCTGTCTGTTTGGTGTCAACTTTAACCCTGCCCATAACTTTTGATTGGTTGAAGCTATGACTTTCATATTTCACATGTGTATTCCTTGTGACAAGACCTTTCTTTGGGTACCATCATATTTGACCTTTTGACCTTGACCTTGGAGTTTGACCCACTTTTGCAAAATTTTATGAGACTTTAACCTTGGCCATAACTTCTGAACAGTTGGTGCTTGGGGTTTCAAACTTCACATGTGTATTCTTTGTGACAAGGCCTTCCCTTGGATACCAACAACTTTGACCTTTTGACCTTGGAGTTTGACCTACTTTTGAAAAACTTTAACCTTGGCCATAACTTTTGAACAGTTGGTGCTTAGGGTTTCAAACTTCACATGTGCTTTCCTTGTGACAAGACCTTCCTCTGGATATCAACCACTTTGACCCTGTGACCTTGACCTAGGAGTTTGACCTACTTTTGAAAAACTTTAACCTTGGCCATAACTTTTGAATGGTTGGAGCTAGGGCTTTCATACTTCACATATGTAATCCTTGCGACAAGACCTTCCTTTGGATATCAACCACCACTTTGACCTTTTGACCTTGACCTAGGAGTTTGACCTAATTTTGAAAAACTTTAACCTTGGCCAAAACTTTTGAATGGTTGATGCTAGGGCTTTCATACTTCACAAATGTAATCCTTGTGACAAGACCTTCCTTTGGATACCAGCCACTTTGACCCTTTGACCTTGACCTAGGAGTTTGACCTACTTTTGAAAAACTTTAATCTTGGCCATAACTTTTGAATGGTTGGTGCTAGGGCTTTCATACTTCCCATACAGTATGTAATCCTTGTGACAAGATCTTCCTTTGGATACCAACCACTTTGACCTTGACCTTGACGTTTGACTTTTATTTAAAAAACTTTAACCTTCGCCATAACTTTTGAACAGTTGTATCTAGGTCTTTCAAATTTCACAGGTGTATTCCTCGAGACAAGACCTTTCTTTGGGTATCAACATTTTTTATCTTTTGGCCTGAATTTTGACTTGCATTTGAAGAAACTTTAACCTTCGCCATAAGCTGCCATACGGGGGCATCAGTGTTTCACAAACACATCTTGTTTAATTATAATTTTGATACATTTCTATTATGAGCTGAATTTTTTTTTTTTTTGAAATTTAGAACTGAGCTAAATAGACGTTGGCCTTGTCAATGTAACGGGGTTTTTTTTTTCCTTTTGTTTCAAATACTGCACGATATATTAATTCCAAAAGGCGTTCTCCATTTTTGTCATGCCACTGCTGCTTTGGAGATGTTGGTAAACAAAAATGAAAGTCATTTGTCTCTATTTGATGTGTCATTTTCAATCATGAAAAGTAGCTCTATTGACTTGTTCCTTTCCCTACATTCATAGTGTCCACCTTCCTAGATTTCAACAAGTTTACAAGATTAAATGCCTCAAATCACTTGGTTCTAGGCACGTTACAAGCGTTTCCTGACACGATCGTGCACTAAAACTGAAACATTCTTTACTACATTGTTAAATTATTGAATATATAAGATTTTTTTTAAAAAATACATTCCATATGTTATTCCAATTAAAAAAAAAGAATAATAATAAATTCCCAAACAAATTTTCCTTTTCTCTCTTGTAGTAGTATATTGTCCTGATTGTTCCAACTTTCCCTTTCTCAAAGCAATTGAAAACTTTGCTGAAAGGTTTAAAAGAGGAAACTTATACATGTATGTACCTAAAATACAATATTATGCTTCTAAGGTAAGAATGGAAAAGGGTTAGATAACACGGAAATTTTAGATTCTGTCTATACAGGTGTCAGAGTATTGCCCTCAATTCTTACCTGAGTCAGGGTGTGTAGATATACAGTGAGATTTCTGTTCTGTCACCTTCCCCGTGGATGAAATACTGACGTACACAAAACAGTACGCCGAAGAGCGACTCTGAAACAAGGAACAGTCAAAGAATATGTTATTTCTGTCGGGGTTTACTTTCTTCTCGGAAATGTACTTTCGTTGGTAAGGTGCTGCAATAGAACCACTCCTCTTGCTCATCATATACAAACGAATTTTATCCTTTGTCCCAATGCACTCGGGGTATGTATAGACTAAAGTTGTATGCCCTATGCAAGGAAATATGGAAGATGAATAAATGTCTACGCTGTAGGCATTGCTCCATGATACTGTCATAATTCCACTTTGCGAAACAATATTGCTGGTATTAAAACTATTTCGGAGTATTGCTCTATAATTTCCAACGGTATCAAAAATATTACATGGATAACGTATACTTTGACGAGGCGATACGATATCAGAAATCGGGGTAACATGAAATACAGTTTGTTGAGCACTGCTATTTATGTTTTCATTTTGGTCAATGACTAGTTCAATATGAAAAGAATAACGTTTCAACAGGGGATTGCATTTTGCAGTGGACAGAAAAGTGAGAGTAACAGTTTGTGTCTGCGCGAAGTGTGTTGATGGTAATTTTAATGTAAAGGAAGGCCATTCTACATGGAATGTTGAAGTTGTTAATATAGGTCCACCGGCATAAGAATGAAGTTCTACAATATGAGACGCTGAGAATTCTAGAATTCCACAGCGCACACTAACACTACCAGACGATTGTCCAAGCGGAAGGCCAAGTGTTGTGATTTCTTTCCGACTGTGATTGTCCATAGTTGCTAAAATCCTTATGAAGGCATTTGGAAGAGAGACATTTGATGGAATGGTATAATTGAGGATTAGGTCACCGGAGAAGGCCACATATACCACAGGCACATGGAGAGCATAGCTGCCTTCTGAAAAATTAATGTTTTCACATTTTAAATCATTTTAAAATTTATACTATGTGACAAAAATGTAATGCATTTTTGTTGGTTCCCATCACAACCAGGTATGGAAAATAAATTTAAATTTCGTTTCAATTTCCATTTTACACTTTCAAATAGAATTTACTTAACATTTTACGACTTTATTCGACCTTTTATAATATTTTATCTAGCGGATCCATTTATGTTCATTTGTATGATTTTATTGAAAAGCCCCTCAAGCATTCGTATATCCTTTTAAACATACCGATCATAGTGCTTATATAAAACTGATCAGTTGATAGTCATATTCTAGCAGTAATGTCTGTAAATCAGTTCCTTGTGGCCTGTTTGACAATTTGTTCTCCGGAAACAAGAAGCCAAGTTAATGAGGACTTATTGAAAATCTGCTCTGATCGTGATGGCAGGTCGATAACTTTAATAATGAAGCCGAGCAACTTAAAGTTGAGTCTGATATGACTCTCAAGCAGCTGGTAGGAATAAAATATCTATTTAATGTTCTTTTACACCTCGAACCAGTTTAGATTAAGCGCTTGTAAGACTTTCTTTGTAAGGTTTCAAAAAAAAAAAAAAAAAAAAAAAAAAAAAAAACCAACTCTCCGACAGGCTTTTTGTCAAGGTTAATAAATACATGTAGTTCTAAAATTAAAAAGAGATTGTCTTTTGCTGCACTTGACTTTGAAATTTAATATGTACTGAATATTTAACATAAATCTTTTAGTTGAATATAAATCTTTTCAAAACTAAATAATTACCGAATAATCACCCCAACAGCAAAGTGTTGTTAAAGAACAGTACATGGAAATGTTATCGTGTAAACTAAAACCCATAATTTTCCTCTAAATATTCCATGCAGCCATCTGAAACATAATACCATAATGCGCTCGTAGGAGAGTCTAGTTACCAACTGTCTCCCCAATACATTAAGGTGAACAAAAACGTACTTTTTTCTCTCTTTGGTACTGCAAATTCCCTAATGTTGTGTAATAATTTCAAACAATCTGAATTTTAAAATACGTACCCACGGAAGGGTAGCTTTTTACTGATCATATCTCCGAGTACAACGTAATGTAAAACTATTTTCAATTCTATCAATCATTATATAGCCATATAAATACTTTAAACTTTATTGAATAGTATAAAATGCATGTAGAAAAACTACAAGCCATGGTATCTTTAATAACTAGGGATTGGTAAAATGGAACTAAAAACGTTTGAAATATAAAGTTACTCGTGAAAATTTCGCACTGACGTGATAAGATCTTTAATACCAAAATGTAATAAGTATTCAAACCTAAATCTAAGACCACACAGGAATAATATATATTGAAACTAAAAGTGATCGACTATTTCATTAGTGGATCAAACGTTTCCGTTTCCTTAATAGCTTCTTCTAACATTCCATTTCACGGGAAATTTATCAAAGCAGCCACAGGATGCACGTTCCGGGATCGTGTCTTTAATTTGCAAGAGACAAATTACAAGGGGACTTCGTCCTGATCCTGGTACTATCGAAAGTGTCAGACATAATACCCATCGGTCAATCAAACCAAGAAAAAAAATACAAGCACTTCGTAGAAGAAAGGCTATGTTGATAACAGTACAAAACCTACGCAACCTCCTAGAGAAAACCCCTACGATGTTTATTTCAATGAGGTCCAAAATATCCCTGGTCTGACAACCCCGTTTCTTTTGAATATCAAATAGAATAATCTAAAACCACTTTAGCGCCTCTCTGATGGTTATCTCATAATCTAACACCTATTTGCTTTTGAAAGATTATTCATTCGAAGTTAATCTGAAACGTTGTGTTGGCTATTAAGAAAAGGCGTCACACTTTTTTATTATCTGTTCTCATACTCTGCATTTAGGTTAATATAGGAGAATGCACATTGTCCTATAATATGGTAAATATCTGCCGATGGCTGGAAATTAGCTGTATTAGCTTGGCATGCCATACTGTAGAGGCTATAATTACATCCCCACCGAAGCATTTAACGGGTACCAGATAGACACACATTCACACAAATAAAAATGGCATTCGGGGTTGACAAGTATGTGGGGTACACATAAATAGACTTAATTAAATCAAATTAAATAAAGCTGGAAATGGGTCTCACTTAAGGTAATACCCCTCTATAGACTTGAAATATGAAATGTATTCCTCCATGGGTGTATTTCTATACAAATATAGTTCATTATATTCACCTTTTTAAATATGATTTTAAAAAAAAGAAGATGTATATGATGGGGGAGTAAAGTTCTATTCGCTCAAAACAAATATGATATGTGATCTTTCGCTGGTTCACGACCTCCCTCGAGAGGAAACATGACTAAAATCTTATTAGTTTGATATTGCTTTTAATTCTCTTGACCAGAGCTAAGATGACAATAATCCTGATGGTGGGGTATAAAAGGAAAATTAACGATCTCCGTATGCTGATGGATGTATTTCTTCCCTCATTCATGACTGATTAACGTTATAAAGACCGGGACACTTTCTTCCGTGTGATGATCCTGTGACTATCAAATAATATTATGCACATTCTCTTTACTACGTATCGAATCTATGTATGCGGGTCTTAGTGGTCTTTGGACCGACTTTTTGTTAATTCTGATCTGTAAAATAAATGAGCTTTATCGCTGCAGGTTTGCAATATTTGTCGGCAAACAAGCATGAACTTTCCTGCTAGTTTACGGATTTGGACCTAATTTCTTTCATAATTCTGCACGTTATCTTTACACCACCTATGAAAATCACGAAGACCTTAGCCCCGGCCTGGAAAAGCAAGGGTTTATGATTACAAGCTTGCACTGCAGTGTAAAGGCTTAAAACACACGATATTCCACCGGTGATTTATGAAAATTCGATATAGTAGCGTTACATGAGCTGTCTGAGGTATAGGTAATTTCCCGTAGCAAGACCACGCGGCATTGCATTTCAATGCTTTCTGTGGATAATGAAAAGACTATTTCCAGTGCATTATTTAAAATCGATGGGTAAACCTGGTTCCAGGATGCTATTAAAATGCACTCACCCCTTGTCAACACTACGTGAACTTTCATTCATTTTGTGTAAATATTTCTCAGGCATTTGGTATTTACAGTAGACTTGAAATGTCAAGCTAGTATCCAATACCGAGAAAACATCCTTATAACACTCGTAATTAAATCCTTTACTTCTTTTATAAATTATTTAATTTTCATTAGACGTAGTATCTACTCGAAATTTGAGCAATAATACATGTATAAAATTCCTACGTCATTAATCGTTGTAATGTAATTTTTCTCGTTGTCACCTTCGATAAAAGTTACCAGTCAGTGCAGATACTGCGTCCACAAGTGTCTCCATAATGACAAATGTCTACGTCTACATGGTATCGCTAATTATAGTGTACATGGTAGGGTTAACTGCGACAAAGGCTCAGTGTTTTACTTTTTAAAACGCTGACTGTCAGATCTTATAACAGTAAAAGCCTTGTCCAATAATTTACGCTAGATAGTTAATGCTAAATACTTTTGAAAACTTTTTAAAATTTTGAATTCCATACCCCTTCCCTTGCATTTTCTCATGTCCTTAATTATGCACAAGGAAATATTATCATGTCTTTCAAATTTTTGATGAACCGTACTTAAGAACCCTACTATAGCGTGATTATAACAACCTTTTGATAAATGAAATGTATATGCAAAACATATACCGTGCATAATTACTCTTTGCCAAAATGGATTTTTAATGACCACACAACCATGATGACCTTTAGAGGCAAAGAATTCTTTCCTATTCCTTTCAAAATGAATTATCTTCTATTGAAACACAATGGCCAAAATCTATATGAGTGTTAATGACATTTTTCATGTAAAGTATCTAAATTTGTGTACATGTACATACGAAAAATTCATAATTTTATATTGCCTTCTTGCTTAAAGCAGACAATACCAGAAGAGGTAAGTTGGCACTGTTCAGCTATAATTGCCCTGACATATAAGTGTGAGATATTAATAAAGTTTACCTACCTGTAAATTTTAACAACTCAGGTGAGGAAATAAATATCCAGACAACAATGAAAATTGTATATATGAGTGTTGGCGTTTTCATTTCTCACTTCTCCCAGCGTCCATCATTTCTTTACCGTTTGATCACTTCTTATCCAAAAATCCTCTTTAGTATAGATAGATTCCATTTTGAACTACAAGACAACAAAATTTAACAAAGCACGCTCTCAAGTGATTGACATGCTATAAAAGACAGGTGAAGGAAAATTGCGCGTACTTTCTGTTTGGCTTTATCGCGCTCGCTGAACCGTTCCTCACATTGCCTCCAATTACTGCGGAGTTATACAATTGTATTAACGACAGATGTACTCCTGACGATGACCCATCTTTGTGAATTTTTAAGTAAGATATAAACAAATTTCACTTTCTTTTCAGAAATGTTGCAGGATATAAGCTCCAAGAACCAAATTCTTTTTTATATCGTTTGTAATTGCAACAAAGATGTTAGGTAGGGCTTATGATAAATTCACACAAGGTACTAAATTACGTCAAAATTCTTGATACTCTCTTCCTCATGTATACATGCACTCGAATTTAAATTTGACAAAATTTATGGATTCTGTTTGAATTATCTTGACCTCGTTCGAATGACGGCATACGAGTTTCACCCAAGTTCAGGAGGCGCACGTATGGTCTACCTTGCAAAATAAGTTAAACGTGAAAGAAATTCTATCGATTTATCGACTCGCTGGGGTACACCTAAACTATAGCAATGCTGCTCTATTTATCACTCAGCACTAGGGATGTCAATGTCTTCTACCCTTTATTCATTTTTTTATCCCGATTTTGATTGATCATGTCCATTGTAACATTTTCTTGAAATATTCAAAAGAAAAAAAAAATTATTCATTGAAATTGCAATAGAAAGTCTTTTCACGTTCTATTTTCTTTAAAAAGAAAAGTTCGACAATATTCTTTCTTAAATTAAAAAAAAAAGAAATGTCAATACAACGTCTTTTATTCAATTGACTGGGTTGTAAAAGCTGAAGACGTGTTGGAACCTTTAAAAATGAGTGTCAAGTCAGACAATAGAACGGAATCTTGTGTCTGTTTGCCATTTTAACTCGAATAAAAGAATGTTTGCGATTAATATTCTCAATTTATTGAAAGGCTGTCACATGCATAAAAACGTCAATTTTCAAAAGAATGTCGACGATTTTTTTTTATTTATCCTTACAGCATGTAACGATAGAGGTGCTAAGAGTATGCCAAAAACAAAAGAAAACAAAAACTTTCGATAGAATTTGGTGCGAAACGTGACAAAAGAGTTATAAGCTAAAAATAACAACAATTTCCTGATAAATACCCGTTAATAAGAAACCAATTTACAGACAGATGAAGCATTGCAACCTCCACCTGGAAATATGAAATATTTACCCATTGTCATCTGATTGAATTACCTGCCGCCATCTACCTCAAAAGGAGATTGCACGGGCGAATGAAATATTAATTTCACAGATATAAATCCTTGCATTGAGCAGACGACAAGTAATGATAAATGACGAAACCCGGGCAGTTTGACATTTTTCATTGTCGTAGACATACGAGGTGTCGGGTAGGGAAAGAAGAGTATCCCGAGGATGTTTGTGTTTCTCCGGTGTTATCAGGCTGTTTTGATTGAACAATGGAAACATCTCATCCTGAGTGATAGTCGGTTTTGTTTGCCAATATAATCAACTAAGTCCCACTTGTTGCGGGGGTAGATCCCCCCAAATCCTGGTTGATATCACTGTACTGAAGGAGTTGAGAGTTTGTTATCCCTCAGTCATCACCCAGTCAACAAAGTCGAGATAAAAATTGTGTTTTGGGATTCAATGATACGACAGTTATTGATAACAGCATATATTACTATAAGAGTAATCCGTTTCTAAATGATTCAAGAATGTTACGATATTTTAATGAAGGCATTATCGAAATTCAATACTAAAATTTAATGTCTAGATCGAGAACTGTGTAAACAACATGGTATATTTTTCTCCTCTACTGGGTATACTTTACCCTTGGAAATGGTAATAGGATATATGTTGCCAAAAAGATATATTTAGTCTGGAATTTGTAATTCAAATAATATTCACATAATATAACTTTTTTTTGACTTACACAGGCCCGTAGGAAGCAATTTCCGTTGGGTGGGGGGCACAACCATACATTTTCAGTTGGAGAGCACTATCGAATACCAAAAATTCATTGACAAACCCCCCCAAAAAAGGGTCATCAGACATTTATCAAGCATATGGTAGCTATGATTTCTATAGTATTCTATATATCGGCAAAATTATTGGGGGATTGGGAAAGCCCCCCGTGCCCCCCCCCCGGTTCCTACGACCATGATGCAAATATAATTACAGAAAATCAAGTCGTTTTGTTTCGAGCTAGGAACATGTAGCAAATATATTTAAGAAATCATAGCAACTGCTTTACCCGCCATTTGTTCTACGTTGATTTAACTTCAAACATTGAAATCACATTATGATACTGAGTATGCCAGAATTACATCCGACTGGGAGGCAAAGATTCGAAAAATACCGTTAAAGAAGATCCTTAAGATAAGACAGCAATTTCAATTAGTTACAATAAACCTACAGGTACCTCGAGGACATATCAATTTACTTTATAACGGAAATTGCCTAACAGCCATATGACGACAAATGATTTTCTATGAGGTAAATCTTGGTTGGTCTACTTTCACATGGGTATTTAATAACGGTGCATCTTTGAATGTGCTAATGCATTAATCACACTAATTGTTACATAAGACGGAGACAGCAAGTACAAATCGAGTTCTCCATAAAACCGATAAACATCTGCTTTCGATGACACTTGATTACATCTTAGTTTCCACATTTAGTGATATTTATTCGGCGACAGTTACGAGACCTGGATTACGTGGCTGAACACACCAAAGACTATTGATACTCATATCCGTTACTTCTATCAATGATCTTATTTCACCAAGTCATTTATTTACCGAGCATGCTTTAGAATTAAATATTTCTACTTCAAACAAACATGTCACTGTGACTCCCCCTCTCTCTCTCTCTCTCTCTCTCTCTCTCTCTCTCTCTCTCTCTCCAAAGATCGAACTTCACCAAGTAATATAAAAACCATCAAGTGCAAATTACAGAGTTGTTGCAATTCTCGAGTTATTGTGACAAACTCACGATAAATCAATGAAGATTCTGCCAATTGATGTCGACGCATCCTATTTAGATATACGTACAAAGAAATCAATTCTACAGAGAGCAATAACTTCAAGAATAATCAGTTAGAAACTGCTTTCTCCAAGCCATTTATTTACCGGTAATACATTATAAGGTAATCGTAGGTTCAAAATTCTATAAATTTCTATGAAGATATATAATATAGCACTTTTTATGCCTTTTTTGATAAATTTACCAATTAACCCTTGTCTACAAGGAGTAACTGTTTCTGAGTCAATATAAATCAGGAATTGGTACGTACATTTGTGCTAAAAACTGAAAATGTTTTAAATTTCTCTCCTAATTATTGAAAGTAATAAATGCCCAGTTAAACACTGACTCACCTTCATCAATGTCCGGGATATGATGAATTTTAATGTGAGATGACCAATTAAATTAATGAATAAAAATCACTGTGAGGTTGTCGATTTGATGAAATCATGATAAAACAGCAGTTTCGTTACGGTTGTCCAAATGCTGCATCCATCTTCGTTAGCAATAATGAGATTGAAAGTTGCTACCAGTATTCACTACAATGAAAAACAATCGACGTGAATAACAAAACAGAACTTATCCCTCTCTCCATCAAAAGATTTCAATCTAAAACAATGACTTACCGTGAATATCAAAGCGCGCCAACCCGTCGATCGTCTGCCCGTCTTCTTACCTTTATGATCGTGTTGATTGAGTTTTGATCAGTGGGATTTCCGTATGAGAGAATCAATAGAAATCCCTACAAATCAATCAAAGGTATACTTTATTAATATGATACTTCAACGGGATCAAAAGGGTTCTTCATTTACATTGTTTTGCCCGCCAAACATTCCACCAAAGGAGCAGTCGGGTCATCTTTAGATAAGAACAAAAACTGTGGTCTAATGGAATATCATGTCCAAAAACGGTGCATTAGTACCACCAGAGGAACGTAATGTGCTTGTTAATTTGGTTACTGTTTTTGTGAAATCGGTTAGAATAGGATTGCAATGTAACATAATCAGTGAACATGACACAGACACCGTTTCAGCCACAGGGTATGTATGGAGGTTCCAGCAGCACATCAACACACAGACCAAAGGATCGATCTAAAATTACCCGCAATGTAATTAGATATTAACCCTTTCAGTAGTCTTTCATCTAACAGACAAAATACTACTTCATAATTGGATTTGATATAATTAACTCAAATGCAACAAGTTTTTTCATGATTTGATGATACAAATTGTGGAATATTGGTGATTCATATAGCAATTTAAATAAAATAGCTTTGTCAATGAGAGTGTTCTGCATTTAAGCTGCATATTTTTCAACAATAAAGATGAAATACTATCTATAAACTAAATATTGTTTACTAATCTATTACACACACAGTGTAATTTAAGCGATATGAGCCACTGATTGCATTGAAAACTTGCTGCAAGGAATGAATGAATGAATGGACATACCGGTATTTTGTTCACCCAATGTTAAACGTTAATAATATAAAAACTAAAAAGTCTAGTCAGAAACGCCATATCAATGAGCTAATTCAAAAATATAAAGTATTAATCATTACTAAACTCCTTCATTATTTGTTCCTAAGGTACACGTGCATGTTCGTTTTCTTACTAAACTTAAGGTATCAATGTATATATATATATATATATATATATATATATATATATATATATATATATATATATATATATATATATATATATATATATATATATATATATATATATATATATATATACATCATTCTATAGACAAAATATTTGTCCATGTGGTGTGCAAGATGATATTAGACGAGTATTATTTTTTCCTTGTTTGTGAGAAAATTTGAATGCAAGATATGCTTTTGGACTGTTTAATGAGATAAATAAGTGACATACATGTAAAGCTTTGGGGAAACCATAATATAATCTACTGAAATATATGTTACAAGGCACAACAATTTATCATAGATCAACTAGTGATCTTTAAAAAAGATTTATATCTAATTTAGATTTAAAATTAATATTTTATTCATTATAAGTCTATCTCACTTTTAGTATTTGTTTGATAGGTCAGATGTATCGGTTTTATTTATGAAGAGGAGCTTGTAAAGAAAAAAAATGACTTTCATATTTGTTTACTTATTTGACAATAAAATACGTTCAAAATACAGCAAATACGTTCAAGTCAAACAAAATAAGGACTAAATCAAAACGTTT